TTCACGACAACAAAAATCACTCGACCATACGCTAATCCCTCGTGACGATGTGATATTATTAACCCGAACTAATCATCCGTGGATATGTAAACTCGATGTAACTTGATCAGGAATGTTTGAACTCTGCGTCCAAAGTATTATCGTCGTTACAGCTGGTGATTGGGAGAATTTACGAGAGTATCAAGGATAATCCTGTGATATTACTCATTGATCCTTTAATTTTCCCGTAACTTCGTTGATCCAGATGAATTAGTTCGAATGGACAGCCGAAATTATAATTAGCATAGATAATTTACCAGTGGATAATCCCGAAGGAAAACAAGAAAGTGATCCCCCGGACACGGATAAATCCATTTAGGAAAAACCGAAAACAAAGGGAAAGGGTGAGTTCCCCGATTGTGTCTTCCCCTGGGATTTTTTCTAACCGAAAATCCCACGATTCCGCACTTGAACCCTTGTTTTTCCAACACCCCCAGGCGAACCCCAAGGGTTTGAAAAGGAGGCGTGATCCCGTTTTCCCCAAGCACTTCGACCTGTTTACGATCCTACATCATCCTCAGGAGAGACAAGAAAAGGTAAAAAGATTGAGTCGCGTCGGTAAATAATTCGAGACTTTCAACTGGGGTCTGTAAGTAAAGAAATTAAAGAATTTGAGGAATCAATAAATTGATCCGATTGAGAGGAATTTTGATAGAATTGAAAAATTGAAAATTTTATTTCCGGACTCTCAGGAATTTCCTGCGGCTTTTACGGAGTTTACAGTGTGGGAAGGTGCCATATTTCGCGGAGAGAAAGGGAAAATTGTTGCTATTTCGAGGGGGACATTTGGTCGGTCTCGGGAAGTTTTCAGAGGAGGGATAATTGGATGGGGCCAATGAGAGTTAACGGCGTCGTGAAGACAAATTTATCAGACTAACGGCGGCGATTTAACATTTTCCATTTACCCGATCTAATTGTAGGATTAATAGCGAGATTCGGACAGAAAAAAAATTTACAGAGTAAAATGTACCAAGCAAACAGTAACTCAGTAACAATTATAATAATTGAACAAGTGTTTCCGGTAGCGACGCAGTTTTAATTGCTCCCCCGAACTTGCGATAGAATTCGGTTTGCCGAACTGATTGAAGTATTATGAAAGTTTTTAACGTGCACCTGTGAAGTGCTCTGTTTATATTCGCTGCTATTAAATAATAATGACGGGTTTCTACCATAAAAGCCACTCATGTGGCGGAGAGTCTTGTCTGGGACATGGGAAAATACTGAAAGTGGAAAGAGTAATCCTCAAGTTTCGAATGCTCTCCTGCGAGCCTAAAACCACTTGTGGCTGGAATAACTCAGCTCGACCTATTTTAAATTCACTCTTAAAAAATTTCAATTGTCACAAATTTTATTGTTATTCTCCCTGAATTTTTCCAATTTTTATTAACAATGGAGGAATTATTTCGGCGTAGGAAATTCTGGCAAATTAAATTCACATTGAATTCCGTACTCATTCGATATTAAAATTTATCTCCAAGCAATTCTATAATTTTTAATACAATCGAGTAAGATGGAGACTTGAATTATGGACGGGTCAGAGGTCTTGGGATTCCAACTCGTGACTCGTCTATAAGTTATAATGCCGATGGAATGCGGTGCAATGGAATTTCAAAAATAATAGCATCATTGGTCTGCGTGAGGTAATTCTCTGAGTCGTGGAATGAATAATGGGAATCAACAGAGAGTTAAAGAATTTTTAAATCTCCAATTACTTATTCCTGATCATTTTTTTAGGTCAAACTGAAAAATAAAATTTTACGAGATAATGGAGTAATATCAGAATTTCCAATTATGTGAGATTGAATTCCATGAAATGTTTTTTTGACATTGAAATTAAATAGAGGAATTCGCATTGGGAATTTAGTGGGGTCGAAAAGGAGGAAATGATGTCTCTCGTTTGCAGCTTGAGCACCGGGTCCTTTGCTCACGATAAAGCCCATCGAAGTGGTATGCAGCAGGAAGTGCAAACATTACCACACGTAGATCCGGCTTGAAGCCGTCAGCTTTACCATGTGCCATGGACAATCCTACGGAGACAATAGCCCAGAGATCGTTGATTCCAGGGGGATCTCTGATGTGACACTACTTGTCACATCAGGGACAACCAGAATCACATCGATCCGTCACCGATCGATGACTTCGTAATGGAACTCGTCCTTGAAATTAATGAGTCATAGAAATCAGTGGAGAACATAAAAAAAAACATAAAAACTCTTGATTCACTCTCATTTATTTTCTAATTTCAAATCTATTGAAATTTATTCTCAATACCTCTCACGAAAATATCAGCCATTTATCAATAATTAATTGATAAATAATCGTGAATAATCTAGAATTTTTTCTCGCAAGATTAATCAATCCTTTGACAATAATTTTTTATAGACTTTCTGAATTCTTTCTTCTTATGAAAAATCCATAAACGTGAAAAAAAATAATCAAAATTTTACGTCTCGTATCTGGAGTATCAGGAATGTTATGGACTTTTGCTTTATGGAATCCTGTTCGTAAATAATTTGGTATTACCCCTCCTGTGAATAAACAGCTCATGGGATTTTCGGCAATGGCCTCCTAAAATCACTAGTCCGAAGTATAATCTCGTAATAACAAAGAAGTGAAATATTCCTTTATCGAATAAACTACTTGCCCCCCTCATTCCGATGAATATATTTTATCACTGGAACAAACTACTGTACTCGTAAAAAAAACTCAATAAAAATGCCGTGTCGCAAAAAAATACTCAACGCTTTATTTCTAAATCCGCTGTTCTAGAAGGACCCACGAAAATATTTATTATTTCCCATCATTCATTTCTGTTTTCCGAAACCTTTCTGAATTTATCTCCCGAAAATACGAAGAATATTTCATATGGTTGTTTAAATAATTGCTTTTATCCTATTGTGTTTATGATCTTTGATGAAAAATTGATTTTAAAATAATATTTGTTTGATATAAAAAATGCTGAGTAAAGTTTTCCAAATAAAACTAGACGGAATACCAGAGGATTCTTGCAAGTTTTCAATTTTTCTCTAGTGCGCTGTGCAAATCGATACAAGAGAATATTGTCATCGTGTGGCCCCAAAAAATTGCGATGAAAACCTGTCGAGGATTGAAATGGAGTGAGTGATAACGAGAATATCCCTTGAATTAACGAGTTGAATAATCTGATTGCCCAGAGATCTCAATTGGCAAAACTAATTCCCACTCCAGTTGCTCCTGCATTATTCTCCTTTGTTTACGCTGCAACACCGGATGTAAATCATTGTTTACAACTTGTTATTTACACTTTGAAAAATGGGAAAAAGCACTTACGCTCCCATCGATTTGGGGCGATTGAGCCCGAACTATCCCCTATCTGTTCACCTGTCCATCCCCAAACCGATCACATCCAGCCAATTTTCCCCCTCAATTTCCCCCATTTTTTTTCCCCCAATTTATAAACTCGTTCGACAACTAACAGTTTATAAATTCCTCAATTTATCCCAGAAACTACCAACTCCGGTGTTCACTCAACTCCCAACGAGTTGATTGAATAATTTATTTCCTCATCCAGACGCAGATAGAACAAACAACCCAATTATCCGGATAATAATTTTGATATGCATGCGGTAATTTGGATTTAAATCCTCTGGGGAGTTTTTCCGACAATCTAGAGCTTTCGCTGGGAAAAATTGGGTAAATTTTCCCAAAAGGGCGCGAAGCCAATTCCCAGTGGAGGGGCTGACTGATAAGTCAGTCATATTGACAGGAGATATTTATAAACTACCACCTGAGGTGATTTAGATCTTTGGGAATCATAAATTTTTAAAGGTAATTTATTCTGTAAAAAAACCGAGGAAAATTCCTTCCAAAAAATCAGAATCCCGTATTTATTGCAGCTTTTTTATGAAACCGGTTTTTTTTTTTTTTCAAATTGAAATTTTCTGCTAGGCCAGAAATTAAGAGATCATTACTGTTAATGCTGACTCGCGTCCACCAATTTTCTCATAATCTACACTTGTATACACGTGTACATGAGTCTCGTCTGTACAGAGGAGCCGACCGAAAACTTTTTGCGCTCCAGTTTTTCACTGACTTTTTTTTTGCGTTATGTGAGCACCCGAGTACGTGCTACTCTTACGAACGTTTTCCGCAATAACTGCAGTGGTGATACGATAAACATGCGGGGAATGGATAAAATAAAAATTGATGGGACGTTTAGAGTCGTCGGGGCTCTTCCGAGATAAACTCCTGCCGGCGGACTAATTTGCCAATGAGCGGTGAATTATTAATGATAGAATTAAAAAATCAATTATTTATTTACTGAACCTGAGAGAGACTTACCTGCATCTGAAAATGACTCTGGTAAGTCATTTTAAAAATTTGAAAATGAAAGATGAAAATTAATATTCAATTTTTTGTTTTTCAGGGACAGAATTATCAATTGGAAGTAATTTTTCCAAAATGAAGGAATTTTCCTGGGAGTAGCAAATGACTTTTATTCTGTGCGTAAAATAACTTCAATTTTTGTGAATCATCCGCACGTGGATGAATTTTTTGATAAAGATAGAATGCTAAAAAAATAATCCAGAATTCCAACAATACTGGTAAAAAAAAATCCAGTAAAATGTTTGTAAATAAAAATAAACTTTCATCAACGAGTGAAATTACACACATAAAATACAGCGAGAGAGAGAGAAAAACATCCCGACTATTTTCGAAACCTTCATAAAAAAAGTAAAACAACTATTCCACAAAACTAATTACAAATTACAAGTTTAATAAAAAAAACTACAATTTTAATTCATTTCGAGTTCAAAAAAAAAATTATAAGATTGATTATAAATTATTGGTTTCAGCAGACAATTGTAATTAGCAATTACGACAGTAGGAATAAATAGAAATTGAAGAATAAACAATGAAAAAGGTCACGAATGAAGAAATAAAGAAATGAAGAATAGATTGATAAAAAATGGGAGACTCACCATGAGTAATTTGACTTTGTTAACCAAAGGGGATATTGTCAGAAATTTGTTGACGACTGTCAAGATTTTCCCTTCCAACGTGGCAGCACTTCCGACGTCTTGTCCTTGCGAGCATCCGGGCCCGATCTCGCTCCCTCCTTTTGTCCACAAACTCCGGTAATCACGACGAAATTGTCCGACCTCTTCCTTCTTTTTCTCCTTCGCCTCCTCGTCCCCGTTCTCGAAGCGATAGCTAAACGCGACAGAGGTATCACCCGCGATTTGCGATGATGTGCCGACTTCCGGTTTTGGTTCCGTTCCTCGTTTGTGCTTATCGCACGTGACTCACGTCGATTGCATCGATATAAGAAATCGCGTGTGATGTCTCCTCTCCTGGAAGTCACTGCACAACAGTCGATCCCCGCCGATATCGACTGCAAAAGGCATCGATCAGTCGACAGTCCGCGATCGAGCCATCAATATATCAATACATTAAGTTACCCGCAATTTTCCCCATAAATCCCATAAAAAAAAGGATAATTGCAAAATGACAGAAATTTTAATTATTCCAAAATTTTCCTCACGGTCAGAAATATCAAATGAATATTTAAATAATTTAAGATTTCTTCCCATGTACCTATCAGGATTAATTTGACTAGAAATTCGGATTAGTCCGGGGATTTGCTTTATTTTATTTCCCTCTTAAATTACGACACTCAGTACTTCACTTTAAACTGTTGAAACTTGACTGGACGACACGAGTGTACGTCAACCTGCGTGAAACACGGCTGCACCCGTTGATAAAATAAACAGAAAGAGTGATTCACTTACTAAAACGTGTTCAACGCGGATACAAGAAATCGTATCGGGTTTTGGAAGCCAATTAATGGCGCACTCGATCGAAAAAAAGCGTCATCCGAGATATGAGAGGAATTTGGAATGCAAATGTTACGTTTTGCCTGTTATCACCGGAGATAACGTGGAATTAAAATTATAACAATGTGGAGGACATCAATATTAATAATTATTCATGAATTATTATTATTATTATTATTATTATTCGCCCAATGAGTCCCCAACGAAAAAAATCTGTTCGTCATTTATATTTTCAGTTATCAGTAAACTCTATCTTCATTTTTATCTGTTTAAATTTTTTTTCTTTCAGGAAAATTTGTAGATTAATGAAATTCTCAGACGAAATTGAACTCGAAAAACTTGTGATTGAGCTGATAGACCATAAAATGTAATTAGAAAAGCCCTGAGTAATGAAGTGATGGTTACAGCTCAAAAGTGACAATGCCACACACATCAAGATGATCAAACGCATCGCATGGAGATTGTGCCAACGAGAATTACAGATAATTAGTGCGTGCCACTTAGTGACTGCATTAATAAAATTAAGAGTTGAGTGCTTTCACGAGAATGGAGAGGCCCGATGAAGCCTCTATTTTTCCCCTTAAAAAAAAACTCGAGATTTTTCCGGGGAATTCCATTCCAAAAGATGTTTACTCTCGTCTTAAATTTTTCAGAGCTCTCTCTCAAAGTAAATGCCACATCAGGAATAATTTTTTTCCAATTAGTGCCTCTGTTTCTCCACAAAAGTCAGGGGGAGGTAGTGGAAAATCTCGGTGCATTGTTCAGGCATTTCCCTTTGTTTTTCACTCAAGGGTAACAAAGAGGCTGTGGGTGTGCAAGGATCAAGACCTGAAGAGGCTGCGGTCACGGATATTTAACATTCTGGAACGTTTGAATTAAAACAAGCCCACATTTGCCACCCAACATGCACGTTTCGGGCTTTTCGGGATGATGAAGAGTCAACAATTGTTAGAAATGCAAGTCCTGGATAATACACGACTTTATTTGCATTTTCAGAATGGAGGAAAATCCACTGGAAGAAAATGAGGCCCTAATTAAGAACACCGAAACCTTTAAGATCCCGTGTCAGTGAATTTATCTCACAACCGGGTAATTTTACCGAAAAATACGAGAAGACATTTTTTCTTGAAAACTCCACTAGCTACAAAAAAGCTCTATAACATTTTCATGTAAAATCGGTAGTTCGTGAGATGAATCGGTCAGTACAAAATAATTGGGCGATTTTGATTTTGTAATTGGAGAAGGATGGTGGAAACATGGGGAGATGGAGGTGGAAATTACGCTTGTGAATTTATTAATCCAAATATTTTTTTCACATGAGGAAATATGATATTTTTGCATTGGCATTTTTGAGCCAAAAGGGCTTTTTTGATGCTATCCAACTGGAAATGAAATTTTTCTTTCTCAGTTGAGTTATGGGAGCTGAGGATTTCTCTATTCCCTCGTGATGGTTCCTCTGTGATTTTCAGTGAAACACAAAACAGAACGAGAAGAATGCGAATGAAAGGAGACGTCGGTCTGAGGCGACTTGCACCGAAAAAAATATATTTTCAAAATTCTCTCATGTCCCTCTAAATCAATTTAATTTTCCAGAGATTCTTTCGGGGGCCGACGAATAATTCATCTGGATATATTTTCTTTTCCGGGAAATTTTCCTCGGGAAAATTTCTTGCCGGGGGAAAGGGTAATCGAGTGAATTGATGTTCAGGAAAAATTGCATTGCGGATTAAAGCTGAAGTGACAGAAGGACAATATTTTCTGACGTCCTCGAACAAACAGGTGGAATTCCGCGGTGGATACGGTATTCCACGTCATCGGGGAATAATATCAGTTCCTCTGAAAGCCTTGAAATGTACAGGAAAAAAATCTAAAAATTGTCGGTTGAATTATGGAGAGGGATCTGAAAGCGGAAGAAACTCATGTTTTTGAATGAATGAAAAACAAACACGATGGGTGATTGATCAGGGATCAAGTCTGTGTACTTTCGATGTATTTTCCACCGATGTAATAACAACCGGAATAATTGCGGGTATGAGAGTTGAGGAGTATTCCACAGACGTTTTAAATTCGCATTTTTGACATTCAACCGATGAAAATTCCACCGCAAAGATGCCGGAAAAATGGGAAAATCCCGGTGAATTCAGAAGTTGTAGCTCAACAATTTTCTCGGGGCTTGTTGAATTAAAAATACCGGATGTAGTTCTGGAATTGTTGGGTACGCAAAAATTCAACGAGTCAACTCGGTGCAGACCTTTCAGTCCATTACAGGGGATGTGGAATGGGGCGACAATAAAAAGGTGTTTCGTAAACAGAATACTTGCTGGAAAATCCGCATAGACAGCCCGGGAAAAGAAATGGGGTGAGATCCTCAGTTTGCAATGAAGTTATTTGTGTCGTTCTTTCAATCCAATTTTTTTTTTCAACAAATCGATGTGCGACGAGATAAATTTATAGGACAATTTACCCTAGCGTTTAGGAATCCAAGTTATTGGCTCGGGAAATTCTTTTTCGGTGAGGTATGTCATGGGTCTATTGAAAATTGAATTTTATTTATGCCGTAGAGAAATTTCAGAAATTCAGAAATTCAGTAAAATACGCAAGTCCCGAATAAATTGATAACGAGGTAAATATGGATTTCACGTGAAATATTGAATAATTGGAGGAAAAAAAATTTTTGTATCTCCGAAATTGAATCTGCGCGTCAGGCTGGATACTGCGACGAATATTTGCGAGGGAATGGCACATTTTTTCACAAGTTTTCTCGGTAATTTTCCGGTGGTGGGAGGGAAAAATAAAAATACACCCGTGCACTCGGATTGTCGCAGTGGGACACTCGAGTAAATCGTTGGAGTACGACAGGGAGTCTAAATGATCAGAGAAGATTACATACGTGCGATAAAACGTGAAAGATTCGCGGGGGCTAAGACAATGTGGACGTGATCGATAAAATGAAAATTGCTGAGCCGTTATCCATGTGTACCGAGAAAATTGAATAGAAATTGAACCCCGAGGATGAATTTTCGCGGATGTCTTCTATTTTCCGACCACACCTTTTTGGAGTTTCCCTGCATTTGTCTGCAGTGAGGAAATAAATCTCGTATTACCGGAAAAATTATTGTCTCAAATTTTATCGAGACATTTTTAAGATTTTTTTTATATGAGAATTTTTTTTTCTCTGTCAAGTTTTTGTGGTCACTTGGGGTTTAACTCTTTTATTGGCGAGAAAATTCTTGAAAAGTCGGGGACAGTTGCCGAAAGTTGTTGGTTTTTTTATTATTTGTTGCCGAAAGTTGGGCCATTATGCATCGACGGACAATAGACTTGCAAATCCATCGGACGCGGGAGAGAGTTTTTCTGTTTTTCCATTGAAATTTTTTCCATCGATTCCAGATTTTTTACCAGATGATGAAACATTAGGTATTGGCCATCTGTAATAGACACCCACTCTAGATTAATTCTTTTATAGGATTGCGAGAAAAATTTGTAATGCAAAAAAAAAACGTCCCGTGCAATTCCGAGTGTAATAATTCTCGCGGGCACCGGTCACTTTTCGGGACTAATTTCCATCAAATTTCATCACTCAGATCACATTTCTCAGTGAACGAATATTTTTCTAGAATTCCAGTAAAAAACGGAGCAACAAATAGGGCAGTCAAAGAATAAACAATGACTTGGTCACCAGAATTTTTCCCAGAACAAAAAAAAATTCTTATTTCTACATCGGGAAAAATTCAATACTTTTCTTCCGAAAAAAAATGCGAGAAATAAACGTGCAAAATACTTTACTGTCAGAAGCCGCTGAGTCACCAGCAAACTGCGGTGATAACAAAACCGAAGTGTCGCAGATGACGAAATGAAAATTTTATCTCGATTTGAATTCTCTCAGGAAATCGAATATATTTTTTGTGAACTCTCGGACGGGATTTTCGATTGAATTAACGGCAGAAACCTCAGAAAAATTCGCTTTGAACTTTGAAATGAGCGACCGGTTCGATGCCCGATGGTGTCGCGGTCTGAACGGCGACTGAACTCTCTGGAGCCTGCGGGATGCTGAATTCGCTGTGAATCGCACGAGACTGAGTGGGCGCGAGAAAATCGAGAGATGATGAGGAACATGAGTGTGTAATGGTAAAGAGAGATGTATCAATAATGTTGTCTCTGAAATTTTCCCCTCCACCCGTCGATTTTTTTCGCTTTTTTTGTACTCCCCCAAAATGATCCATTTCAAGATTTTTATTTTTATTTCACTAATGAAATTTGCCTCTCATCAGTTTAATGCTGATAAAAAATACTAAATATTATTATTTTATTAATTTCTTTTCCCGAATTAATCAAGGACACCTCAATGGGATGTCAGCGTAATAAGTGAGATGATAGTGGAGCTTTCGTCAGAACAAAGCCCCCGGGACCTTTCTACAGGCATCCAAATCCCCGATGATATCGTTTTGAAATCGAGAACACAGACGACAATCCGTCGGTATGTGGGTGGATTGTGGGTGGATACATGCGACATCTAACATTGAATATTAAAGCTCTCTGTTTTTTTGAAAGGGGTCGGTAAGACGGATAGTCATACCCCATATTAATTTCAAAAAAGAATAATCTTCTGAAGTAATTTTTTGATGATTTTTTTTTTATCTAAATGGGCAGATGCCCTATCTGTGAAATTGATGCCTGGCGAAGTTTGAATTCGGTATTCTTCTGAATCGACTGCCTCGTTTCGATTTCAAAACATCGAAATCTCAGAATAATCCGATCCTCTTCGTTATTTTTATCCACTTCACGTGATACTTCGTTCTATTCCATCTTGCATCCAAGAAAACGAAATGTATTCTCAAATTTAATGCGATTTTCTTCAGGAATCCCAATATCTCCATTTCAATCTTGAGATTTCAAATCTGAGAGGAAGCTCAATATAAAAAAATTACAGCAATAATTGGTTTTGATTTAGGAAATTCTCTGAAAAATTCAAATTTGACAATTAATTCAACCAACGAGTGGATTAATGCTGAAATAATTATTGAATATGGAGACATTTTTTATTCGATTAGAAAAAGATTTTCTCTGGGTGCGAATGGAAAGTTTTAGGAGGAATGAAAAATCGGTTGGAAATCGTGAAGGCCTGAGTGGCTTGAAAAAATAAAAACCACCAGAAAAACTTGAAATCCCGCAAAACTAAAGAAGCTAGAAAAACCTGGTGTTGGGCGTCTCGGGTTTTCAGTTTCTCGCCTTATTTTTAGACTGCCACAGTTTCTCCCCAAAATCGTTCCAGCCAATCAACTTGTCCTGCGCTGACGTTCCCAAGAGTAGAGTTGGAAATTCTCCCCAACTGAATAGTCAGTCACGGGGATTCCACTCAGTTAAGCACCTCGCATTCATCCCTTAAACCTCTAGGTAAGTTCACAGAAAGTCTTGACCCCACGTCGATCATCGATATTTCCGATCGATCGATCCTGTCGCCGACAGTGAATTGTGCAGTGCGGACCTGAATTTAAAAAATTAAAATCCAGTGTAAAAAAATAAGTAAAATTCAAAATTCTCAGACTCATCAATTCGTAAACTGACAGAAAAAAATTTGAATCACCGATTTTTCACGGGCATCCGCATGGAGAAAAATATAATCCACAATTTTTTGCCGGAATTATATCTTAAATATACCCAAAATATTTTTTACCGAAATATATGCGGTATATATTCAGATATAATTTGCATGTATTTTTCGCTGCATATTTATTCCACGTGGAAAGTGCAAAAATCGTTGACAGAAAAATCGAAAAACCGATTTCTCTCACGATGTCGCAATAATTTTGAGAATAAATTTTTTCAGGTTGTCGAGCATAGCATCCCGACAAAATCATGGCCATCGACGACGAAGTACGGTACGTATTTTCCAAAAATCCACGAAAATCCAAATAAAAAAAAAAAATACCCATAAAATAGAAAAAATAAGAGCTGCCGTGACATGTGCAGCGTTAGCACCCCGACTTCGTCCCCTAATTTGAATATTTGTGTTCCATGTTGGGCCACCGGGGAAACCCGATACCTTCTGAAAATCCGTGTGCAATCGACAACTCGACGAAATCGAAACATCTCGCTGCAGTATTTTCATCAAGTACCAGTAGATAAGTCCGTGCCTGTGCATGCTAACAATCAGTGGCAGAATTTTTTTTTTATTTCTAAAAATGCTTGGGGATTCGAAATTATTTGAGAAATGGGGTGGAGTCTGCTGGATACACTTACTGCCGCTGTAGACAGATATAGAATCTCGCCCACACTCGATTAAACCCACAAAACTAAACGTATCTTTAGCATCATCCACTCCTATTCCAGCGTCAGCACAAACCATAACTTTTTTTAGGTCAACACAATCCCTGACACCAGAAATAATTGTTTCTATAAAATTCCCCGCCATTTCTCATCTCAGAGAAATTACGAATTTACGAGAAAAAATCGCTCCAATTATTCATCATATATTCTCATTACCGATCCGTAATTTTTCGATTTATAAACAAAAAAAATATTGACGGAGAATTAGGAGAGAAATGGGAGAAATTTTTTGGGATGAATTTTTTGAGAATTGATTGAAAGAAATCTGCGATTTCATGAGAAATAGAATTTTCTGTGGTTCTCAGAGAAATAATTGCATAATGTTATAAAACTGTTGTCACCAGTAAAGTTGAATTTCTGCCAGCAATTATGATCTTTCTCAAAGGTTTCCCCCACTTCCTTGGTAGAATTCATGACGCCTGTTTCAGGCATCGCAACAACACTGCCTACGTGTGATAATAATAAATCGGGGCAACTGCTTCAAAGTTTCACGTTTCTGACGAAATATCAAACGCCACGTCTAGAAATATCATTTTCCGATGACACATTCGCGGAGTGATTTTTCGATGCATGAGCTTTTCTGATTGAATATTTTTGTAATTACTGCTGAAAACACCAGTGCACTGATAAAAAATGTATCTCTGCAAACCGAAATCTTCTGAAATTTCCACTTCTCTGAAATTAATTGGAGAAATAATTTTTTTCTCAGTGCACGAAGAGTATAAACAGTCACACCTTACGAAATTCTCTTTCTTTTACAGAGAAAACGCATTGAAGATGTACGTAAGACACACACTATTTACACACACCAATTCGTAGAGCAAATTTAATTGTTTTTTCCTTATTTTACGTATTTTGCCGTAGTATTTTTAGTCTCAAGGTTTATTCAGGTTAAACTTCTGAAAGCCACGTAAACTGGATATTTTTTATTTATGAATTTGAATGATGAGATGAATAATTAAAATTCTATGGAAAATAAAAATGAAATTAGGAGAGGAAGAGGAAGCAGGCGGAGACCGACAGAAAACGCGCGGAAGTTCGCGCGCGCCTTGAAGAGGCGTCCAAGGCCAAAAAAGCCAAGAAGGGGTTCATGACCCCAGAGAGGAAGAAGAAGCTGAGGGTGAGTGGCAAGATTACCCTGCAATTCCTCTTTAGTATGGAATTTATTTGGAATTGGGGGTTTGCAGTTGTTGCTGCGTAAAAAAGCCGCTGAGGAGCTGAAGAAGGAGCAGGAGAGGAAAGCAGCTGAGAGGAGACGCATAATTGAACAACGCTGTGGAAAATCCAGACCCGTGGATGATGCCAACGAAGGTGAACATGATTTATTTGTCAATCAACAGGTCAACCGTTAATTTTGAAAACTTCAAGTCGTTGAATGAACATCTGATTGTTCTTCTGATGGTTCGCCGCAACGATAAATCAAGTCAACCCACGATTTTTGTAGACTAACATATTTGTTTATCGTTAGTAGATCCCTAAACCCGATTTTTTTGTTTATAACAATCGCACAGAGACACTCAAGCGCGTTCTACGTGAGTACCATCAAAGAATCTGCCAATTGGAGGACCAAAAGTTCGACATCGAGTACATTGTCAAGAGGAAGGACTTTGAGGTACAGTAGCAAACTGAATAATGATAAAATATTCGATGGGTCTTGAGCATCACGTGAATTTCTAGATCTTCTGACATTTCCCTCCTGACCAAAGTGGAAAGCTTCGATTTCAGTCTCAAGGGACTTCTGAAAATCGTGACGTTACCACAAACTCCTCCTAACTGGGATTACCAAACTTTCATCCTCACTTTATTTCTTTTTCTTCGACCGTTTGTTTTCATCCATTGTTTTATTTTCAAAAAGAGAGAATAAGTCTCACTGATGTCATCATAATGCGTTTTTCATCGATCTCGCTGCATTGTTTTGCATTATAAATTTCATAACGCGAAGATATTAAGATTCAGGATGAAATTTTCCGTTCCTTTTTTTTTTAGATCAACGATCTGAACAGCCAGGTTAACGACCTCCGAGGTAAATTGTAAGTACTCATGAACTGCTAATTGATTTTTAGCGTGGAGAGGGATGAAGATAAAATAACGAATGATTTAACGCGATCAATTGGATTCCAGTATGAAGCCAACCCTGAAGAAGGTCTCGAAATACGAGAGCAAATTCGCTAAACTCCAGAAGAAAGCGGCGGAATTCAACTTCCGTAATCAACTGAAGCAGGTGAAAAAGAAGGAGTTCACCCTCGAGGAAGAGGACAAAGAGGTAAGCCTAGAAGATAAACGATTGAACAATTGGTATAAGTTGAACTCGTCTATAATTCTTTCCATCAGCCGAAGAAATCGGAGAAAGCCGAGTGGCAGACGAAGAAGTAGATCCTCCAAATGTCAGAGTGGACACCAAGACTCGATATAATAATACCATAAATAATAAAATACATGATAATTTTGCCAAGTACCTCTCGAACGCTTGTTCCCCACCACAATCTCTATTGTTAATTACCACTGGATGAAAACAGGCAGCAAGCAACCCGAAACATGGAAATCGATTCCAAATTGATCATTTTTTTTTTCAGATTATTGACGAACAAATTGGCATGACATTTTATTTTTGAATTTTTTTAACACAAAAACCACTAGTACCAGAGTAAATGTCAGAGTGCTTACGCCTAGTTCTATGAATAATATAAATACATTATTTACTGTATCTAGTACTCTACATTTTTTTCATCTCACTATTTAACTCACTGCTGTACGCCGTAAACTTTTGTCCACTATTCAAACGAATTCAATCAGTAGATAACGAGATTTATGTCGAGAAGTAAAGTAATTGCAATTTAGAGGTAAGGATTTCATTAAAGATTGATTAAATGTGTCAACCACTGCCACTAACTCACTGTCTGATTAATAATTACGAGTTGACTATAACTCCTGCGAATGAACGTTCCTCTCGGCTTTGAGTGTCGATTGTTTGTGAATTTATTTATACATAGTTGTTTATTTATATTATTTTTTAGCCGGCGAAAATGGTATCGAACCACTGCAGCCATCCCTGATTTATTTTAATTACTCCAATTATCTCGCATAAGTTATCCTTTCGCGATTATAAATAAATCGAGGAATTATGAAACTCTGGGTCTATTTCAGGAGAAACCTGAGTGGGTCGAGAAGAGGATCAAAGAAGAAGAGGTCGAGGCATGAACCAGAGAATTGTCACCTAATTATTAAATTATAAATATACCGTACGATACTATTTCGCATATATTAATTGTTAAGAATCCTCACCTGTTTCAAGAAATTTTATTCTCAATGTTGTAATTTAAATAAAATCAGTTGAATTAAAAGTTTGCTTTTTTTTACACCCGACAATTAATTCGTCATTATATGTTGATCGTATTATAAGCAATTGAAATATATGAATGTACATTACGTGCCCGGGCGGTTGGAGTGGGGTCGTCTACTCGTGCGGAGTCAGAGATGATTGACTATAGTAGAGGCTCAGTTCTGGGGGTTTGAGTGACCCCACCAGGATCGTAGTATGTCACCCCAAGGGAGAGAGGGTGCCACACGCAATGTTGGGGGTGTCTGCCCGTCAGCCGACTCGGTAACTGCCACAGTAGCAGTCCCGCGGGCAGAGGGATGAGTCGATGGGGTGAATGGTACTTTCTGCGTTGCGAAATTGGTATTCACTGAAATGGAAAAATTCGAAATTTTCAAAAAAGTATCAGGGGAGCATGAAAATCGAGGAGGTATTCACTGAAATTTGAAAATTCGTAATTTTCAAAGAAATATCAGGGGAGCATGAAAATCGAGGAGGTATTCGCTGAAATGTGAAAATTCGAAATTTTTGAAAAAATATCAGGGGAGCATGAAAATCGAGGAGGTATTCACTGAAATTTAAAAATTTGAAATTTTCGAAGAAATATCAGGGCACCATGAAAATC